GAGGAGAACCACGCTGACGGCACCGCATGTGGCATGCACACAGGGCGACACAATGGGGTGCACTTTGTAGCCCTCCGAGCCGGACTGCAGTTGGGCTGGACAATTTAGTGTATCCCACTTGTACCCTGAACTGGCGTCAACCAATCACGAGCCTGCAATCGGACAATCCAGCCGGTACAACTCAGCAGGAAACACGTGCAGAAGAGACGAACGGACGGACGAGAATACACAAAAATGTAGAAAACAAGCCGACTTTTGGGCGCAACGAAATGAGCAGATCTCACGAGGCCAGTGGATGTCATCTGGACGTAGCTCCTAAAAACAATTTTCAGGCATCAAGCCTGTCCCGGTCTCATTAGCCCCACCAACTGGACTTGAGCCAGGCTCGTGGCGACATGTTAACATTTAGTCAGCAAACGTGACTCTCAAGCGGAATTTTAAACTGAGCCTGTCGGTGAGGCCAACATGTATTTGCAGACTGACAGAAACATGCATTTGCCATCACATTCGACTATGCTACTTATATTCAATTTGAGTATGCTTAAAAAAATCATTAATTCTTGCTTGAAAGTGGTAGTGTGAAGCCTATGTCCTAAAGTGCGGGCAAATTTAACTATCATTTCTTCATTCAGCTTAGGTTGATCCCCGAAGAATTTTGCGAAAATTTTATTTTAAATGATTTGACTGTATATTTCAATCAGGCCTTAAAGTGAAATTATCTTTAGGATATACGGCCATAAACGAAGCACAGAAATTGGATTACATTATTTCTGTGGCGCCAAATACTTGCTTCCTTGAAAACAAATGGTTAGAAATGAGAGAGAGAGTTTAATGTTACCATATTGTCGAGTAGGCTCTAGATTATCAGCATTTCAGCTGGAATCGTTCCGTGACTTACGCATACACGCGTACACAATCAAACAAAAAAGGTTATATATTAAAATGAAAAGAACTGGCCAAATAATTTTCAATATATCCAAGAAAATGTTTATCTAATTACTATTTAAGTTGTGAAAAAGGCCAAGCATTATTGGAGTAGTGATCGCTAAGACAGTTACTACGGGAAATAGATTAAGAAAATCACGTAGATTGCTCGAGTGACAACAACATTGGAAAATGAATCTCTGTTAATAAACTGGAATCATTGGTCATAACAACAAAATTGGGG